TGTATATATTATTTATTATATATATATATATATATATATATATATATATATATATATATTATATATTATGTATATTAATATATGATACTAAAACCAACGGTACGAGAAAAAGAAAAGAGTTTCCGATTTCAATGTGTTTGTTTCACCAGGGACGACGATTTCGACCTAAGGAGGACAGTAGAGAGGTTGGTGCTTATGGTACTCGATTCATGTGATAAAGTAATGAATCCCTCTTTCTTCTTCCCTTTTGACTAGTTAGTCTGTACTTGTTTTTCGCCTACGCACATTTGTACGATATCACTAATCCTTATTTCCTAGCTAGAATATATCAAGTCGCATCTTTATTAATCGAATCAGCTTTTTTCACCTTTATTTTTCAAGTTTATTGATTTTATATCTGATCTTATTTTTTAGAATTTTACATTTATTATTGATGTTTAACTAAATTTCGAGTTACTATACGTATGCACGACGAAGTTGTGGATATTTAAAAATAAAATAAAATCGATACATTATTCGAATAATTTTTATAATCTTATCGCTAAAGTAACATCGTTTCGCGGCGAACGAAAAAAGAAGAATAAATTCATGTTAAATAATTTCATGACGTTTTATATTTCAGCGGAAAATGCGAGTGACTTTGAAACATGAGAACGGTACACACGCTATGATATAATCAATCATATGATGATTGCGTAATAGAATTAGAATTTTAATCGCGCGCCAGATAACTATCACTTTATCAATAATTCGACGACGGGACATCCTGTTCGCGATCGCGATTCAATCTCTCTAATGGAATTCCCGAAACAAATAATCTTCGAAACGAAAGAGACAATTCTATACATATATAAATTTACTCGAGAATATTATTTACATACGTACCGATCTGTATGTTGTTGTCCTTGAGCAAGAATTGAGAAAGGAAGAATCGCGTGATGAATGTATAATTTTATTATATATATGCGCATATGTATATATGTTTTTAGCAATTACTCTAGTTTATTAGTAGAAAATTGTCATGCGTCACGTCAGCACGTGGCATTTGTGAAATCGTGCATTGCATGTTTCCTGTTGTTCGACTTATCGATTTCGGTTAAGTCTCAGCCTCAAACCTCAACCTTGTCTTTATCGATCGCATCCGCAATCCCGCTTAAGTACGCGTCGTTCGAGAGAACTTTTGAAAGAGCTTTTGCATTGTATTCTTGCGTCTCGCATCGCGTGATGATCAACAATTGAGTCTTATCATTGCAACTAACTCTCGATCAGACGCGACTGTTAATACTAACTCAAGACGGCGCCTTGTCCCGCTGCCAATTGGCAGAGGCTCGAGCTTCTTTGGGACAGATTTTTTTTTAAGTGAAAGCAGCCAGTGAATGGGAGAACGTTTATATCTTGTCCGATTGCGCAAATGTATCT